GTCGTATAAGTATTCTATAGGAATTTTAATATGTTTCCTATAAGATTCTTAAAGAAATCTTATAGGAAAACTGCAAGATTTTTAAATGAAACAAATAGGAATCTTATAGTTATCCTATAGAATGCCTAAAGTAATCTTATAGATTTTCTGAAGGAACCTTATAGGAATCTTATATGAATTATATAGGTATCTTATAGGAATCCTATGGGTTTCTTATATGAAATCTATAGGAATCTTATTGATATCTTATTGGAATCTTATAGGAGCCTTATATGAATGATATAGCAAAGGTTTAGATATCTTATAGAAATCTTATAGGAGTCTTATATGAATTATATAGGAATCCTGTAGATATTTTATAGGAATCTTATAGATATTTTTTAGGAATTTTACAGATTTCCTTCTGGGATCATATAGGCGTCTTATAAGAATCCTATAGAACTCCTTTAGTAATCCTGAAGTTATCTTAAAGAAGTCCTATAGATTTCCTAAAGGAATCTTATAGAAGTCTTATATGAATAATACAGGGTCCCTATAGATATCCTATAAAAATCCTATATGGTTTCCATAGGATTCGTATGGGTGTCTTATAAGAATTATATAGGAATCCTATAAGTATTATTTTTATCCTATTGATTTCCTAAAGGAATCGTATAGATGTCTTTCAGGAATCCTATGTGAATGCTTTAGTTGTCTCATAAGATTCTTATAAGAAATCTGTATATAATGATTTATAACAGATTCATATAAATTTCTTATTTTTGTAAATATATACTGTTTGTTAATGTTAATGCAAGTTGTTATTGACGGGTTAGCTGGTTGTTGACATCCGTTGGTTCCACAATATTGTTTGCATGCACAAGCAGTATTGAATGACTGATGCGTTTGATTTCGAGCTGGAGTGGCTACTGGACGGAAAAAATAATAATGGCTTAAACAACTCATGCAGACATAAAAAAAAAATACACTGAGTTCAAGATACCTGTATACAAACCATGATTTCTTTAATTAAATACATCAACTATGCATAAATTGCATACCCCTTCACATAATATTGTTCGTCTTAAGCCTTACTGATGCACATACCTCAAATTCCAGCAGTACCTAAATGCTTTACAGTTTTCAAATCAGTTTTTTTTTCTGTAATTTATATTAAGGCGTCAACTAGAGTTTATTATACAAAACCCTGTTCAAGAATCTGTCACGTTACAGGTGTGTATAAACTAGAAATTTTCTGTATAATATTGAAGCTGGAGCTGTCTATATCCGTGCTTTTTCTTGTCCAATGGTAGCAGAGTAAATTTAAAATCTTGCTGAAAGATGCCATTGTAGATTCTGCAGAGTGACCAAACTAAGTTTGAAATATTGAATCAAGATGGCTTCGGATTTTCACCCTTGCTTCACATGCTGAAAGATATAACAAAACAATTCTTTTAATCAGAGCAAAGTGATACATACAGTTGTCTTGTGCATTTTGAAACTCTTTTTTGAAAAAAAAAAGTGAGTCATGAAAAATCATAATAATACATACACTAGGTCAGAATAAAGGATTGAGGGGCTGGGCAAAATAACCAAGAACTAACAGTTGGAATATGATTAATGCTCTAATTGTTTTAAAATTTTAAATCATAATAATTAAACAGATTTTGCCGTTTGTGTCTTTAAGGCAAGTCATTAATTAGTATTGAAAATGTATCTTAAAATTTTCTACCCACATTTAAATTTTGTATTTTCCTTCAACATGAATGTATTAAAATAAGAGTATGATATGCGGTAGCTGAAATAAGAGACTAACACACTTCTTAATCATAAGTCGGTTAATTAGTTGTTCCATCCTTTTTTTCTTAGTTTTAAAAGCATTAAAATATTGTGCAATATACTTACAATGTTAATATTCTTTATGCAGTAGGCCTTACACACATATTATTGATTAATTGATAACCTCCACCATTAATACTAGTGAGTTCCAATATTTAAAGTGTTAAAAACTTGAAACTTAAAAAAAATTATTCACCTTTGAAAGTCAGGTAATTTCCTGTTTCTCCGACTGCCGCATTAAGGCTTTAAACAAACATCAACGCTTTCTTACTTCATGAGTTTTCACTGAAAAAAATTCCTTTACCAACAAATTCTGAAAGAAAGTCAACATATAATGATTTTTTGATATTTTGTTTTGCAAACCCACTGTTGACGAAAGTAAGGATTTAAAATAAAAATAAAATGTATTTTTGATTAATTAGCTCACCTGCTGCCGTGAATTAGAAATTGAGAAAAAAAAATGTTTATTCTGTTCTGTAACATTAATTTACCAGAAAGAAATCTTAATTTGTTCACATAAATTAGAAGCATTTAACATATCAATGCTAATTGTTGTAAATACGAGGGAGTTGTTGGTAATAATGATAATAATACCAGTAGCATAGGCCTAGCCTATAGAGGCCTATGCCTACCTCTATAAAAATCATTAAAATAATCATATCATGGACTTTTTTTTTACAATAATATATAAGTGAGAACACAGCCCAATTTACCACACTCCAATACTTCCATTATAGGGCAGGCCGAGCCTAGCCCTCTTTGGCATATCCTCAGTTCTGTCTTTTCTTATTAACAGGCCTAGGCTAGACTCGGAGAATCATAGCATGCTTGTTATTCCCTAGGCCTAGGCTCCTAAGAATATGCCTAGAGATCCAATCCAAACCAATTCAATTTTTGACTTAAAAGATGCATTATACTAAGCCTAAATGCGCCAATTTAAACAACATTAAATGAATATTAATATAAAAACAATTCTTACCTATTGGTACTGCTGAAATACTTCAGAATGTATGGTTATGCCTGCAGTTCTATCATCATGAATGTGCACTGAGAAAGAGATCTAATCCACTAACAAATTTCAGTTAACTGATAACATTCAAAAAAGCACCTTTGTTAATTTCCATGGCCTTCAGTGATAAACATGGATAAAGTGACCAATCACATTGGTGATTTGAGATTATCCGTGGTTGGCTGAACAGCTTAAATGACAACATCTGTTATTGTTAGCTTGTGTTATAAAGTTGTATGTTTTATTATGTTATATTATTTTAGTATAGTCCTAGGCTTTGGCTATGTATTGTTAATTATACTGCCAGGATTTTCATAATATAAATTTATTTTTCTTAATTATTTCAGCAGAACAGGGAAAATCTCCCAAAAATATGACAATTTAGAGGTTTCAAAGGCTTAGAAATAATGTCAAAAGTAGGTCCACATATGAAAGAATCCCTGGAAGCAAAGGAAACTAGGGCTAAATTAATTTTTAAATTCTTAATTTTTGTTTTCTAAGTCTGCTTCTAATAAAAATACTACGGAAACACGATTCATATAACATTCTAATAATAAACCTAATGGTTCCTATAAGATTTATAATAATACCTATAGGATTCCCATAAGATTATCATAATAAACCTATAAGAATTGTGTAAGATTATCATAAACCCATAGAATTCTTTTTTAGTCTAATAACATACCTATAGGATTC